TGTTTCTCTCTGAGCCTCCCTCCCCTCATCTGACTCGTGAAGGCACCACTGTGTACACACTATGTGTACTTGTGAGAATCTGAGGAAATAACACCCCATGCTCTCAACACACAGTAGGACCTCAGGAGATGACCTGCTTTTTTGAAAGCTGCTGGACGGTGGGAAGTACTCGCACACCCTCTAGTGGTCGAACAGCACAGCATGGTGCCACCTGGCGGCCACATCCTGCAATTGCTCCTCAGAGCACTGAAGGATGTTGCTTCTTGGTGGAGTTCTCAAACTCAGCTCAGGTGAGGGTTGGACAGGTGACCATGAGGAAGGCTGGTTTCGAGACCTAGAGAGCCATGTGGTTGTGACAGATTGGGGAGCCATCCCAGGTCTTTAGCAAAGTGCTGCCACGTGGTTAGTTTTTTGTTTTCGCTTTTTAATCCCAATTTTTGTGAATTGTGTCTCTGTTTTTAGTAATGGGCACTAATCACAATTGTTTTGCAAGTACTTTGTTGGCCAAACACATCTGGTGAGCCCGTGGCCCACCATTATCCTATATAACAAAAGCCTAATATGCAAAACAACCGAACGGTGGAATGGCCGGTGGAATGACCAATCACTATGACATGCACTGACCACTAGGTGCCAGACACTTAACACAGGAGCTGCCCCCAGGCCAGCCAAGGCGGGTGCCAGTGAGAGGGGGGGGATCCCCGATTGCCCCGCAGATTGGCCCTGATCACCGGCCAGGTCTAGGGACACTACCCGTGTACAAATTTTGTGCACTAGGCATCTAGTAGTGTCATAATATATTTTAAAAATCTTTCCTTTTTTTTGTGGTATCTGTCTCAGTGAACTTTACGTATCAACTTGACTGGATAAAGAGGTGCCCAGATGGTTAAGCTCATGGACATACAATTATATTTTGAACTCTTCCTTGCTTTCAGTGTTTCACACAGTTTTGTTTCTGCTCCAAATCTTGAATCCACCATGGTTCTCTGAGTGAAAAATGAAGGTTTTAAATAAAAATTTCTTTTAGGCATTTAAGCATGCAGATCAGCAGTTCCTACTAAGGAACTGTAGCTCTGGATATTTATCTATCTGAAGAAACCCAAAACACTAAATTGCAAAGACAATATGCACCCATATATTCATTGCAGCATTATTTACAACTACAGG